CTGTTTCCTCATTGAAATGCTGTCTCTGGTCTGCTGTTTTCTGAAACTAACATTGATCCAGCATCTCCACCAATATCTTCCCTTGGCCTTGGACCCCAAGTCTACATCCCAATTCCTCATCCAATCCTGAATCAATTCAGTTATCTTTTTCTCTAGAATCTAATTTCTAATTTTGGAGCACTGATGAAGGATAACAAAAACCTAGGCCAATTTTATGCCAATGACCTTCTAAAGATTCTAATTTCAGCGACATCCTCAAGAGTGCTCTGTAATTTTTTGCTTATGCCTTCTCCCTAGAGCAGCGGCACCACTCTTTTCAAGCTGTGTCACTACCTGCACACCTCACTCACCAAAGCACAGATCTTATCCTTTCACTTGTCTTCTTAAACATTTTGAAGACTTCTGGTTGCATATAAAATAAAATCCAGTGTCTACATCATAGCATGCCAGCCCCTTCATTGTCTTCCTAGTCAACTTTCATCCCTCACCTCCAACCTTGCTGCTAACGTGTCTTTGCAGTATTCACATTGGACTACTTACTTTGCATGTCTGAGTGCATCCTGCCTTTTTATGACTCTGCTTCTGCTTGTACTTTTCCCTCTACTTGGAAAGGCTTTCACTATTTCACCATGGTATGATTAGTGCTCCCTCACCAGTATTTCTAGGACACTTTATACACACCTCTATAATGCCCTTATTGCACTGGATGATTGTATTATAAGTATGTGTTCAGCTGTTTCATAAACATGCTAGTTTCTTAAAGACAAGAACAATGTGTTATTTTGCTTTTTGTTTTGTTCGGGGGTAGGTTTGTTTGCTTCTTTGTGGTTTTGTTTTGTTTTTTGCTATGTTTTACACCTAGGAGATTAATCAGCACTTGATAGGATTCGATACATAGTTCTTAAAGAAATAAATAGGAACAAAGAAATATAAGATCAGAGGGAAATTTCAGAATTCGAAACGCAGTAAAATAAAATTTGAAAAACACTATGCACACATCCCTACTATTACAATTTATCCATTTAGACCTGGTCACTATCTTAAACATTCCCAGAAAGAAATAAGCAGTTTTTTCTACTGTATATTTGCCTCCGCTTGAACATACTTCTTACTCTGTAACATAATCTTTATTTTACAGAAAAAGTAGTTACTTTATAGACCTCAATATTAGAAGAGAGTTATTAAAGTAGAGTTAGTAAAGTAACAAATTTCTCACAGATGATAAAATAGTGATTAAGGGAATGGCTTTGTTCCACCCATCAGTTGTTATGTTGTTATTGTAGAAACTTCATTAAATCTCTGTACCTCAGTTTTCTTATTTATGAAATGGGAGATAGTAATTGTACCTACCTCATAGATTAGCACTGACCATTAAAGGAGTTAGTCTATGTAAAGCAGTTAGCATAGTCCCTGGAGAAGTAAACACTCAGAAAAGATAAATATTATTATTATTCTAATTGGAGCAGCCAACTTGTAGGTTCTCATGAGGTGTTCATAGAATTGAATTTTACTTTCTCACATTTTTGCAATGTTGTTATAAAACTATGTGTATGACCCTTCTTCCCTCCACCCCAAGTAATTTATGATATAAAGCAAATTAAACTATGAATGACCATGGGAACTTATAATTTAACCTGAGTGGTAACAATATAATTGAGCATCAAGATAAACACCTGAATATAAATCAACATAAGATTGTTTTTAAAAACTATGTATAAACAGAAGAGTAAAATGTATCATGTAGCTAGATCAATAAATTGGCAAATATTTATGGTGAGTAAATCCTGGGAAGTTTCTCTCTCTTTGTTATTATCAAGAAGGCTACATATAATTTATGGGATTGCAGCTTTACTTAAAGTAATCCTTACTATTACCCCGTGAAGCTATTCAAAATACAGAATGCAATCTATGTTCTAAGAGTGGGAGACTATGTGTGACATAGCCTGTCCTGTAACCCAGCAGGGGTCCCTACCACCATGAGGACTCACAGTGAGAACTTTAGATGTAAAGGAATATGAAAGATTCAGACTAGAGGTTATGTTTAGATTAATGATGGTAGATGATTTTTCGAAATTCTAATTGTAAGTGACAGAAAATAAGACAAAAAGACAAAGAAATTAAATTGTGATTGGCTATATTTGTTTTCCTATTTTCTTTGTTTTCTATAAATACAACTATCAGAAGATTAATTTGTTTTCTAAATTTAATAATGGGAAGATTTCTTGTAAATTGCAATAAAATTTATATGACACATTTTGATTTTTTCCTTAGTAGTATCATTTTATTGAGTTTAATTTAAATGCTACAGTGTGATGCTTAGAGAATTCAGTTGAATTAGCACATAATTCACCTTTTAATTTTAAGCTGGTCCATTTTCCTACAGAATTACTTTTTATTATGAAAACACACATAACTATTTCCCGTTTCTCTTGTTTAATATTCTATTCAAAACATAATTTGAGGTTAATCTTTTGAAGAGGCTCTTGTGCCAAAACTGTTTATCAAAAAAATTAAAATGGAAAGTTATTTTTGCTTATAACATAGAAAATGTCAGCACTTTTAAATCAATTCTCATAACACTAAATAAACACTATCACGAAGGAATTAATCAATTAAAATATTTGTTGAATATATAGTGCAAATTATATGTGAGAATGGGAGGAAAATTGGAAGAAAGGTAGAAATTAATCTACCATGTTTCTGATATGTTTAAATAGCTTTGGAGTAAGCATTTCACCTTTGACCAGTGACCCTCCCCCAACACACAAAAAAAGATGTTTCCAGGGAAAATAACTAAAGACTGTGAGGTCCACTGATATTGAAAGCACATATCAAGGAATTTCATGACAGTCCTGCTGGTGTTGATGAGCACACCATTATGTCTCAGGCCCCATGATCCAATACTGACTTAGGAAATATGGTCACATGGCATAACTCTCATAACAGGCTGAAAAGAGTGGAAACGATGTGGGGTCAGGGGTGTTAATAGGCCTAGAGCAGGAGGTCCAAGAGCTGTACTACAACCGCAATAAAGGTAGGCAAACATCAGAACAAAAGCTAGAGTAAGATCATTTATTTGATAACTCCAAAAAATAAGTTAGGAATGTGAGAAAGAGAGATGTGAGAAAGTTGTACAGCAGAAATATCAGAGCTTCTCTCAACGGAGAAGAACTCATAGAGTTCTAGCAGTGAAAAGAGTAGACAAACCATGTTGATTACCTCCACCACCACCACCACCCAAACCTGACTTCCCGGACCAACAGCATCAGCATCACCCAGGATCTTGTTAGAAATGGTATTTGAGGGCCCTGCCCCAGATTACTGAATCGCAAACTCCAGAGGATGAGACCTAGTAATCTGGGTTTTAACAGACCTCCTGGTGATTCTGAGGCAAACTAAATTCCAGCACCCCTGGTTTAGAATTGCTAAGGAGATTTTAGCTTCCTTTCTTTATCTGGAGTTGTCTTACTTGCCTTTTCCAAATAGGTAAGTGTAGATATAAATAATGTAGATGTACAACTCCTTTTCAGTTACACATAGGAGAAGTATGCATTTTCTGTGTAGCAAGTATTCAAATTTCTTCTGCCACTCAGTTTGCTTAGGTACAAGACATCAGCCCCTGCCTTCAATGAATATGAGAAAATAAAGAAATTTAGTACTAGTAACCCAAACACATGTAGAATATTATATATGCTGCACTCTGTTTTATAATACACACACACACACACACACACACATGCACGCACACACACATTTCATAGGAAACTCTTGAAATAAAAATATGAAGTATTTACATTCTTCTTCTATTAGTTCCAACAAATAAAACATAACCATTTAAAGTAAAATATTATTTAGGGAATATAGAGGTGCAATAATATAGTAGTTATAGTGAAAAATAAAGTTTCAGGTTTTCATTGTCCCTCTGTCTCTTCCTAAGATACAGGGAGCTGCTAAAGAATTATTAAAGAAAGAGAGAAAGGTTGATGCAAAAAAACAAACAAACAAACAAAAAATCATCTTATAAAAACAATTAATTCTATTACCTTATAAGCAATTTGACTTTACTCTGATTGGTCTTATTTGACTTGTAATTAAGTAATAGCATGGACTGCAGCAAAAATTATAAACTATGTTTGGAAGGTCTACTTTCAAAAGTAAGGTTATTACATGGTCATTACAATGGTGACTTGTAAAGAAATATAATTTCCATTTCAGGGTGTGTGCTATTTATTATGAGCTCTTCCTACTGGCAAATTCACCTTGTTAAGTGGGTTATTTGTTCATATGTGTTATTGTAATAATGGGCAGTATTGCTCGTTATTTGACTCCAACTGATTTTATTTCATTTTAAACCAAATTAACTACTTATATCTAAATAGACTACTAAACACTCTAACATACTCTTAATTTCATAAACTAATCACAAATTCTAGAGATACACTAAAAATGTTTTATTTTTTATTTTCCTTTTTATAACCTTTATATCCTGACATAAAATACATTAAAAGTTCCTCTAGTCTCCACAAGCCCGATGATAATGTTCTCAATGTAATTTTGAATTAAGAACAAAATTGCTTATGATATTTAATGCTGCCTTTAAAATATTTTCTGGCATTATATAATGCACACATACATATTAATGACATGTGATTTTAAACTTTTTCTGCTGCAGACAGAGAAAAACATAGCAAGGATTAATGCAGTTTTTTAATGCAATTCTATAAACTAGAGATTTTACTGAGTCATAGTTTAGTTTACTCATAAAAATTGATTTTATTTGAGCTGTATTTTAAGAAATGTTTCAAAAGTTATTGTTTGTTACTGTTCTCATTGGTTTCTTAAATAAAAAAAAAAAGAAAATGAAAACTGAACTCATTTTTTTAATCCATAGAATATTCTGGGGAAACATACACATATATATTTCTTTTAAATTATTCCGAAAGGAAGAGAAAAATCTTTGAAGCATTCTCTGAACTGTTTTTTTTCCTCCTTTATTACAGGTATCCATCTTTCAGCTTTATTAATCCTTTAAAACAACAAAAAAAATGGATTTCTTAAACTCATCTGATCAAAATTTAACCTCAGAAGAGCTGTTAAACAGAATGCCATCCAAAATTCTGGTATCCATCACTCTCTCCGGGCTGGCCCTGATGACAACGACCATCAACTCCCTTGTGATTGCTGCAATTATTGTGACCCGGAAGCTGCACCATCCAGCCAACTATTTAATTTGCTCCCTTGCAGTCACAGATTTTCTTGTAGCTGTCCTAGTGATGCCTTTCAGCATTGTGTATATTGTGAGAGAGAGGTGGATTATGGGGCAAGTGGTCTGTGACATTTGGCTAAGCGTTGACATTACATGCTGCACATGCTCCATCTTGCATCTCTCTGCTATCGCTTTGGATCGGTATCGGGCCATCACAGATGCTGTAGAGTATGCAAGGAAAAGGACTCCCAAGCATGCTGGCATTATGATTACAGTAGTTTGGATTATATCTATTCTTATCTCTATGCCTCCTCTATTCTGGAGGCACCAAGGAACTAGCCGAGATGATGAGTGCATCATCAAACACGACCACATTGTTTCTACTATTTACTCAACATTTGGAGCTTTCTACATCCCATTGACATTGATTTTGATCCTCTACTATAAAATATATAAAGCAGCAAAGACGTTATACCACAAGAGACAAGCAAGTAGGATTGCCAAGGAAGAGATGAATGGTCAAGTCCTTTTAGAGAGCAGTGAGAAAAGCACTAGACTCGTCTCCACACCCTACATGCTAGAAAAGTCTTTATCTGATCCATCAACAGACTTTGATAAAATTCATAGCACAGTGAAGAGTTCCAGGTCTGAATTCAAGTATGAGAAATCTTGGAGAAGGCAAAAGATCTCAGGCGCAAGAGAACGAAAAGCAGCCACTACCCTGGGATTAATCTTGGGTGCATTTGTAATATGTTGGCTTCCTTTTTTTGTAAAAGAATTGATTGTTAATGTCTGTGCAAAGTGTGAAATTTCTGAAGAAATGTCAAATTTTTTGACATGGCTTGGATATCTCAATTCCCTTATAAATCCACTGATTTACACAATCTTTAATGAAGATTTCAAGAAAGCATTCCAAAAACTTGTGCGATGTCAATGTTAGTTTAAAGAAGTTTCATTATTAAAATATTGGGGGTTTTTTGAGGTGAAGTAACTAAATGAATGCTAAATAATAAAACATTTAAACTTTTAAAAGGAAATAAATTGAAAATGCTAAAATGTTAAGAATATAATTTATATTTTAATAGCAACATGAATATAAAACTTATTGATTTAAAGATGTTTCTTTTGACCATCATTCTAAAGTACTCAAAATTAGAAAATAATTTATTGTTTAAAAATAATATTTTGCCTATGCAATGTTCTTAGAAGGCTAACTGGAAATATATATACATGTATTATTAATAAAAGTGATTTTCCAGGTTTATGTCTTACAAAATTATGGAAGTGTTCAATTAACAACATACCACCATCCATAATTTCTATAGAATCCTATTGTTTTATTAAATAATTCTTTTATTTTATAGAAGACATATGCTTCACCACAAAGCACACATTTCTCCTAACTAACCATTCTTGTTCCCTCTCTATCTTACCCTGGGCAAAAGAGGAGCAGAGAAGGGCTAACAAGAGCTGTCACTTAGTATGACTGGAGGAAATGTAAAAGTCAGAGATTGATATTGTCTTTGCATTTACAGAGTAAAAAGTAATCATAAGGTAAGTTAGGCACTGCAAAATAATTTTAGATACTGAACTTGTGCATAATTTTTTGGTTAATATGAATTCCTAGAAGAATATTTGTTTAACCGTATATTATCAACTTTTGAAATCAAAGCCTTACCCTAGTAGCAGTATCTCAAGGTTGGGGGAGGGGGGTCGGGAGGGAAGTGTTATACTTGCCCCATGTTTATTTAGGAATCAAATTTATGGCACTAAGTACCCTAAGCTACTCATCACAGCTATCATACCCCTAGTGTCTTTCTAAGAACATAAAATACATTTCATTTTTGTTCATGTTCATAAACTCAGTTTCTAACTAAAATGTCCATGGTACTTTGCACTTCAGCAGCTCCATATCTTGAATTTAAATATTATTTACCTTTTATTAGAGAGCAAGGCCTATATAGAAGATACAGGAAATAATAAAATACGGTTTCTTCCTTTAACATGTTTACAATCTAAAAGGTAAAACAACAACAACAACAACAAAATATAAACACTATAATAGAAAAGAAAAAACAAAGATCTGGCATGGAAGGTGTTTAATAAGTATGATGGGTCAAATGAAAAACTGATCACATATGGTTGAGAAAAATTGGGAACAT